TAATCACTGAAGCTGTATACACTGTGAAATGAATCTCTTACTTAGGCTACATTGTACGTACATCTGCGCTTTGTTGTTTATAATGAGAGAATTTGCAAGAGTCCGGAATTCCGTCAGCGAACGCGCGCGCACTCAATAAAACTGATCTGTTTCAACGATGACTCATCTGAACGCCTCTGATTGGCCATTGCATTGCTAAGCTCAACAGAATTGTGTGTGATTGGTTCAAATGCGCAACCATGTAAAAACGCCTAAAATGAAATACGGTGCAACATGAGCAGATCTTAATTTAATGCCGCAATCGACACTGTCTATTCATATTCACTTTGTTAGCAACAGACGTAATAGATTTAATTTATTTGTGCAGGGGCATTTTAGTGCCATTTTTGCCCCAAGTCCACACACGCTCCGCCTATGCTCCTAAACACAATATCAGCCAAACATCATATTTTTATATTTCTATTCTGAATGCCTGTAAAGTGGGATACTTTCTGATTTCTGTTGTTTTAAAACATGACATAACATGAACCTAATGTGCCATAGCATCAATTCGTGTCTAACATGATTGTTTCAGTATAGGGACTTTCTACAAACATTTCCTTGAATAGACACATACATACAGTATTACTAAAAGCATATAAAATCATATAAGACATTTAAAAATTAATGCAATTCAAATCAAACTAAACTCAGCTTTTATATTAAATGTTTTACATATAACCAGAGTCAATAGAGACGACTGGCCAATGAGACCTCTGCCAGTCTGACATGTACGTTTCCCTGATTAGTGCAACCACCTTCAGGACAAATATCAAAGCCTCAATGCGGGAGCAGCATCTATTCACTGAGCGCATGGATGCGAGCTACTGTAGATATTCTTGAATCCATAATTTTATTTGTCAGTAAAGTGCTCGGGATGTGATGCAGCGCTGGATGCTGCAGGCAGGATGCGCAGAAAGATCAAGGACAAAGAGAAATCAGCCGTGAACTGTGAGTATCACCTTACTGTACCTTTAAGACTATTTGATATATAATCAACTGTACGTAATAAATAGAGTGTGTTTTAAATAATAAATAATAAATATTGTATAAAAACAAAAGCGATTCGTGGATGTGATTCGAAACTCACCTAAATTTTGACGCATGAAGACGTAATTTTAAATTCCGGTCGTCATGTCGCGGTAGACGATGGAAATGATAGGATATAGGTTGTTTTTCTGGAGGTCTGCGATTCCTCTAAGCATCCTTCTGAGGCTTGGCTGCGATCTTTAAAGGGCGAGCGCTGCTGACGCGCTGCTGTTCTCTCCCCGTGACGTCACGAGGGATTTCTGCGTTTCTGCTGCTGCAAAACACATGCAGCCACATGAACACCCCTCGTTTATTCCTCAACATCCCGTTTTATAGTGCCTGCCAGGCATACAGACTTCTTTCATACTCTCTTTAGCATATTATTCAGCTTTAGTTGTGTCAAGTCACCTTTAGGCTATTTCTATAGCGCTTTATACAATACAGATTGTTTCAAAGCAGCTTTATAGGGATAAACGGTAAAATAATGATTCAGAGATGCAAAGCTTTTGTGAAGTTAAGACATTAAAAAGTTAAATAGACTGAATATTTACTATTAAAAACGTAAACAGATAACAATGGCGTTATTGTAATATTTGCATGCTGGACTGTGATTGGCTTTATCTTTCCCGCATAGTATATTTAGACATTTATAAGTGTCTATGACTTTACAAAACCTGAAAAATATTGCCTTCTCAGGAAAAAAACATTCTCAAAATGGGATGAATGCAAGTTTTATAACGTAAAGTTTCATATATGATTAATGTTTGATACAAAATACATTCTCAAACTGTAAACAAATGTATTACTGACCAGAAAACAACATAAAAACATATTTTTACGTGTACGTAAATGCATATTACTATTATAAAGAAGAGATATAACATACATTTGGAGCTGTGAGTCAGAAGTGCATACTAGCATATACTACTCTACTCTTAACATCTAGTCTTATATCGTTCTATGCCAAAAATACTAAGATTAGTATGCTAGTATTGGTATGTGTCTCATTTCGAGGGCTGCGCCCTCCGAGGTGCTGCATTTGTCATCTACATACATAATTTATAGGCTGTCTCTTGTCAAAAAAGCAACTATTATAAAACTGACTGTTATTCCTCATGGGGCGTAAATTACTGTAATTTGATTTCTTTATTACTATGGAATATAATGGTTACTTTTCTGAAAAAATACAGCCTCAATGACATGTGTGGCCAACAAATGCGACCTCCTGAGCCTTTGAAATGAGACACAGCTACAGTAGGGCTGTGCAAAAAATCAAATGCGATTTTCATGCGCATCTCGTCAGTAAAGCCGGTTCTGTGATTAGTAGTAAATCTCCAGCACGTGCTTTCAGATGGAGCGGCATTTACTACACAGAGCCGTAGATCACTGACAAGCTACACAAAATCACGTTCAAAATCGCAGGCGATTCATTGCCGATTTTGAACGCGATTTTGTGTAGCTTGTCGAGATTCGCATGAAAATTGCATTCGATTTTTTGCCCAGCCCTAAGCTACTGTCATCAAAACCGGTCTGTATATGTAATGGCAGAGGCTTTTCCCCTTTCTTTCAAACATTTGCTCAGTATCTTGCAATGGGACACCTCAGGTGTGAAAGACTTTGGAAGCTCCTTAATCTGTGCACTTGGCATGGTGCGACCCAAAGTAGTGACTGGACTACAGCGAGAGCGATCTCTGGCTCAACCTCTCAAGCCTCAGGGATAGAGAGCAGTGGATATGTTTGTCTGCCATATAAGCAGACAGAGCAGGCGATCTGTGAATGCTGCCAGATCTGCAAAACCCCAGAGCGAATGGCTTGTCCCAATGCTGCTTCAAACGCTAAACCATGGGGAAAGGTGTCATTGACGGCAGCTAGGCCTGTTGCCCTTCTAAAAATAGATGGATACCTTGACTGCAGTATTTGCAGGAGAGGAAGGCATAACATTTGCCCATAACAACATCTGTGATGTTCCCTCATGAGCCTGTCACATCCGTTCCCCCACCTGTAAAAAAGCAGAGGGTGTAACCCTAAACCAAGAGATAAAGCACGCTGTGTCCCAGTTCGCCTACTTATACTATGCCCTAAAAGTATGTGCTCGTTTTGTTAGGAAAAAATACATAAAGTCAAGTCAAGTCACTTTTATTTGTATAGCACTTTATACAATACAGATTGTGTCAACGCAGCTTTACAGTGTTAAACAGGAAAATAGTGTGTCGATAATGCAAGAGGACAATAGAAATGTCAGTTTTTCAGTTAAAGTCAGTTCATTGATGATTCAGTGATGTCATCACCCAGTTCAGTTCTCTTTAAATAGCGTTTGTGCAATCAAGTCAACAATGCTGCCAGAAATTAAGCGTCCCTAACTAAGCAAGATAAGGCAACAGTGGCAAGGAACCAAAACTCCATCGGTGACAGAAATGGAGAAAAAACCTTGGGAGAATCCAGGCTCAGTCAGGGGGCCAGTTCTCCTCTGGACAGATGAAACCAGCATGGTGAGCTTTAATACCAGGCTGCAACACAAGTCAGATTGTGCAGAGGACTCGTCTGGTTCTTGTGGTCTTTGCTAAGGATTTGTGCCAATGGCCGACGAGGTCTTTGCAAGAGTGTGCCAATCATCTTTTCACAGTTAACATCCTTATATACACAGTCCACATTCTAGTTTATTTAATTTATGCTATACTCAACAATTCATCCTACCATATTGGAGAGAAAAGAAGCATGTTGATTCTCCAGTCGTGGTTCTTTCATGCTGAAAACTCACCTTATGTGTTTGCATAATGATGCCCAAATTAATGTCCAAATGTATTTTACAAATATAGCTCAGAATGTGTGTTAAATCCTCCTCCAAAGTGCAATGGGTTGTTGGCAACATCAGCCATTAGAGAGTGCATGAATCTGCACTTTGAATTTCCATTAGAAATAGTAGATGATCTGGGTACCTTTGGGATACTCATTTCAACATGATTTGAAACACATTAATTCTAATTTTGAATACAATTTATGACAGATGCAAACTGGGATGTTTTTTTTGTTTTTTTTTTGCCCATCAGATGTTGACAGCACCATCTATGGAACCAGCTCAACAGAAATCTCCTGCTTGATCAATAGGCTTGGAGAGTATGTTCTGAAAACTCTTGGGTTCCACAATGGTGTCCACAGGTTGCAGGCTTCAGTTCACAATGAAACCCCTTCTATCAACAGTGGCATAGCATCTGTAGGGGAATCCGCTTAAGTTTCGGAGGTAGAAATATCCTCCCTCTTAGGAAAAGGGATTATATAGAGTTCCACTGGAGGAAACTCAGAGGGGTTTTTACTCCATTATCTTCTGATAAAGATGGGGGATTGTGCATGATATTGGATTTGTGTGCTCTAAACATGTATGTAAGAAAGCATGAATTCAGGATGCTCAAAACCCTCACTTGCTCTGTTTGTTTAGGCACAGACTAGTTCTCAACGATGCCTCACATGAGCATTTATTATGTGCACAGGAAATAATTTTCTTAAGTGTACAGATTTTTTTCCTCTTCTATTTGGGCTCAGCCTTAGCATCTTGCATATTCAGCAGGTACATAGAAGCAGCTTTATCATCACTGAGAGACAAGGATCTCAGGATGCTGGTTTTGGGTGATTATCTGCTTTTCGGTCACTCACAGGAACATTGTGCCAACTGTACAATTTGAAAGGACAGTGGTGATGAGTCTCTGAGTTTTTGTTCAGCAACTTCCTCTGCCTTATGGGCATGATGTTCTCGTCACTGACATTAGTACACTGGACACTGGGTTAGATCAGGATGAGAGATTTTCGGCAGTGAGTGTGTCAACAATTGATCCCATCATGAGACCTGTCCATGGTACTGAACTCATGAACTCACCACATTCTGAACTGCTGGAAAGTGTGAATATCAAGTTCTTAATTTTAAGGTTAGTTATATTACTTGCTTTAGTTTCAGTCAAGCAGGTAGGTGAGTAACATGCTTTGTCAGTTTACCCAGCATATCTGAGCTATAGTAAGGGTTCGCTATTGCTTACCTTCTGAAGGTCAGTGCTTTGTGTTATAACGACACTGGAGTTACATGCCAAAACTCTTTATAACTGCACTGGAGTTTCAATTTTTCCAAAAATGTATTCACCCTCAGGCCATCCAATATGTAGATGAGTTTGTTTCTTCATTGGAACAGATTTGGAGAAATTTTGCAGCCAAACAGCTGATAAAAACATCACAATAATCCACAAGTAATCCACATGACTCCAGTCCATCAGTTAACATCTTGTGAAGTGAAAAGCTGTGAAAATCCATCATTAACTCTTTTTTTGGACTGTTTGGGCTTGTAAACGGTGATTGATCTGTGCAGATTTCTCTCCTGATTCAGACAAGACGACTTTTTTCACTGGAGAAAGCAATATTATGGATAGAGGACTCATATTTTAGCTGAAAGCAAATTTAAGGTTTGAGGTTAAAAACATATTTTCACTTCACAAGACATTAACTGATGGACTGGAGTGGTGTGGATTATTGTGATGTTTTTATCAGCTGTTTGGACGCTCATTCTGAAGGCACCCATTCACTGCAGAGCATCCTGAGACACTGATGCAGTGCTACATTTCTCCAAATCTGATGAAGAAACAAACTTAGATGGACTGAAGATGAGAAAGTTTTCAGCAAATGTTCATTTTTGGGTGAACTATTGCTTTAATATCCGACTGGATGTCACTGTGCCTTCAGTAGCTCATGCAGTTCCTGAAGTCGGTTCGCTAGAGTAATGAGAGGTTACAGTATCTGTCATTCTGTTCAGGTCTGTTTAAAGGCTTCAGAAAGAATGCATTACAGGAGTTGGCCATATGTTTCCTATAATGAGATACCAAGCGAATGTTTAGAGAATCTGTTCTGTTCTCACATACGCCAGGTATGAGCTGTGTCTATCTGTATGTCAACAACCTAAAATGACCTGAAGGACATGTGCTAGCTCTCAGTCTAGCTCTGATAGACCGATGGGCAAGTGTTTCAGATTCGTCACATGGGTTATCAATGGAGATCTGAGTTTCTGTGACAGATACAACAGTGCGCAGGGCATAAAGGGCATACACTCTACAGGTGACGTCCAAGAAAAAAAAAAAAAAAAACTTGCTTAATCATCAGCACAAACCTGAAAAACATAAA